GAGAGAGAGAGAGAGATTGCCCAACTTGTGAATTGGCAGGCCCCTACCGGTTTTCGTGGTGAGAAATAGGGCTAAAGGTCCCCTAACTCCTTTCCTTGATGATGATTGAGAGGGTTACCTCCTTGATCGATCAACTAGAGTGATCGTCAAGCTATTGTAGTGAAATCAGTATTAGATCTCTCCTTCTAGGTGCCAGTTTTGATATATTAGAACCTAGGTTGATGTTCAACGATCATGATAATTGGACAAGGCAGATCTCATAGCCAGGTTTGGTGTTTGTGACTTGATTAGGTTGCTGAAACCGTGCATGAGGTACCGGAATCATTAGCTATGCTGAAGTGTGGTTGGGAACAAGGTATCTGAATGACCTAAGCATTCAGTTGATGGCACCACCTTATGCGGGTTCTTTGGTGAGCAACATAAAGCAAAGTGGGAGTCGAAGACGAAGGGAACAGATTCAGGGTCTGATTGTAGTGCTATAAAAGTCAATCATATAAAAGCCAAATAGACTTATTTTTAGTCAAGAAGGTAGATTGACCATCATATAAAGACAGCAAGGTTATCCTGGGAGAGAGCTTGACCATGTAACATAGGCTTGTACTTATGGATGTCTGCCTAAAGAGATGGAAGAGAAATAGTGAAACTAATCGTTGTCCAAGAACTAGGTGGTGGAATTTAAAAAAGGAAAACAAACACTTATTTACAAATATATTGGTAAAAGAAGTAAAATGAAATTCTGAGCACAACGTAATGCTATGTGGAATGAGATGGTTGATAGTATTAAGAAAGTGCCAAAAGAAGTTTTAGGAGAAACTAGAGGGAAAAGAAATTCAACAAGAAACCTAGTGATGGAGTGAGGAGGTTCAGAAAGCTATTAACAAAAAAACGATCATGTTATAAAGCTTGGCAATGTAATAGAAATGATCAAAACTTAGAAGAATATAAAAATGCTAAGAAAATAGAAAGACTAAACTTAAAACATATGATAATCTACACAATAAATTGGGGACAAGAGAAGGTGAAAAACATGTCTTCAAACTAGTAAAAAATGAGAGAGAGGAAGTGTAGGGATCTAGATCCCATTAGATGCACTAAGAGTGAGGGTCAGAGGATCTTGGAGATAGATGATGAGGTCAACAAAAGCTGGATAATTTATTTTCAAAATTTTTAAATAACAACCAGTACAGAAATACAATGTTAAGAGGAACCTTTGACATAAATGAGATTGGAGGTCATAGTTACATTCGTAGGATTAGGATATCTGAAGTGAAAGAAACTTTGAGAAAGATAAAGATAGGAAAGACTTTAGGACCAAATGGTATCCAAATATAGGCTTGGAAGTGCACATGGGAGATTGACATATGTTGGCATACCAAGCTATTCAACAAAGTGTTGAGAACAAAAAAATTGCCAGACAAATGGAGAAAAAGTATTGCGCCACCAATTTACAAGAACAAAGGAAACATATATGAAGTTGTGGGAGAGAGTGGTTGAGCAACGACGAAGCCATAAAATGAGTGTATCAGAAAATCAATTCGGTTCTATGCTAGGGCGGTCAACTATTGAAGTCCTTTTTCTACTTAAGCAACTGATTGAGAAGTTTAGGGCGAAAGGAA